AAAAAATGAAAATAGTAACTATATTATTGTCATAAACAAATTTTTAGGCACATGGTTTGTGGGTCAATATATAATGACCCATAAACCATCCATGATACCCACAACGTGAGTGAAAAAGACACAAAATATCCCACAATCCGCATGGCACAAAACTATATATATATATATATATATATATATATATATATATATATATATATATATATATATATATATATATATATATATATATATATAAAATATTACGAATTTTATGAATGTATGTTCCTTGTTTTATTTCTCGAAATCGAATGATGTGCAAATGCACCCTTATTGAACCTCTTCACCTGACGAATATGTTATTTATAGATATAGTACAATCCCGATTGATAAAGGTAAGCCATCGTGAAGTTTAAATATGATCTTATTGGTTGATTTTTATGTGTTAATCAATCACATGTACGAGTATATGTTCTCATCGGATAGTCAAGAAGGTGTGACTGAAAATTTATTTGTCTTTATTACTTAGCTAATCTTACATCACATCAATTCATGAAAGGGGAAATTTGGATCCCCGAGACCTTAAAAAATCTGGTCATGTATTATCGTTATTGTTATAACATTATTTTGTCTTTGTATTATTTGAGAAAGCATTTCATATGCTATCTTGATATAAATATTATAAAAAATAGATATAAACAGTTAAAGGAAAAACAAGCTGTTTGACTAAAGTTAAATTCACTTCCTATATTTTTAATTTGTTGGGTTAAATTTAGTGAAGGGGATTTCCTGTTCATTTATTGTTTTGAAACACAAACAAAAATATCCTCACTACATCTTTATCAGCTATTCATACAGTTTCTAAAATATAGTTTCAGAATTACTACTCCTCATTACTGAACAAAAGCCTGATATTTCTAAAGAAATTTCAGGATTTTGTTCAGTAATAATGAGTTCAATAAATGGACAGGAAATCCCCATCACTAAATTTAACAAAAAAAAAAAATAAATAAATAAATATAGAAAGTACAAACTAATTTTAGCCAGGCAGTTCCATATATCACACACTGCTTGTGTATCTTTTAACTGTTTATATCTGTTTTAAATAAGATACATGTACATTTTAAAAAATAACGTATGAAATGCTTCCTCAAATAATACAATGACAGATTACTTGTATATGATTAATGGAAGGTGTAACCAAATTAGAAATGAATTCGAATAATTTCAATTAATTTCTTTTTTGCATTATAAGTACTCGATTTATAAAGTGAAGATAGAATTTTTTTTTTTTTTTTTTTTGAAAAGCTGAGGTCATAATACATACATAAATGTCATGTAAATAGCGTAAAACCAATATGGCATACCAAGCATAGGTACACTGTACTTTAAAATCAAACACTTGTACACATCGCAGGCTGCTTTCTGAAATATAATTCTGCAATACAATTATTGCTGTTATATCGGTCAATACGATGATTTAACCACCTGAGAAGTACAATATTCACTGATACCTAAGGGCGAGGTGAATGTTGTACTTCGAAGGTTGCTAATTCATCGCATTGACCGATAAAACAACAATTATTGTTTTATTATACATTAATTTATAGAAAATCGATCAATTTTTTTTTTTTTTTTTTTTTTTTTTTTTTTTTTTTTTAACATGAACACATTGTAGTCTGTTGCGTCAAGTTTACTACTGCACTGTTGTTAACTGCACATTAAAATTAATTGTTATATTGGACGAATTGTTCACAGTCAAAACTGGAAGTCTTTGCGCAATAGACTAGAAAGATGTTCTGGACATTTCAACGTACTCTGTGATTGTGGTTTGACCACACTTACATGTACTTAGCAGGTTACAGGTACTGACATTGGACAGTGCATTCTGTTCAGATATATATAGAGCTAACATTTTTAATGTCAAAATCTACGGTATTTAAAATGGAATCCAAATTACTGGTATCATTAAACAAACCTGCCAGTGCACTGTCAATGTCACACTGTGAATCAGAGACCATAAATGAGAATTGGAAAAAAAAGAACGTTTTGACTGAAAGAAATAGGACAAGCGGTGCATTTAAATGCCCTTTGTACTTCATGAATGATTTTACTAAGCAGAGAGGATCTTAAAAAAAAAAGTCGCCCGCGTGGCGCAGTGGTAAGAGCGTTTGCTCCAGAGTCGCGGTGTAAGGAGTTGATCCTTACGTCGTAGGTTCGATCCCACTGCGGGACGAGGAGACCGGTCCTTCGGATTAGAATATATAAACCTAGGTAGTAGGTGCTAGCATGAAAAGATCTCTTTCTGCTCAAACAAGCAAACTAAAAAATTAAATAAAACAAAAATAGATCTTGATTACTGTTCGTTATCATCATATTTCATCTATATACATTGTATGTAAATCCTTGATTTAAACCTTATAAATTAACACATTTCAACTAAATTGCACTTACCTGACACCGTCTTCAGCAGGGTTTGTGTTCTCTTATTTTTTTTCTTCTTTTTTGTGAGCGTCCTTATCCAAAAAAAAAAAATTTAAAGATGGACCTTTGCATCTTTGCGGTCGCTGAAATTTGAGATCCTTAAGTGGTGTAATTTTTCACAACGTCGGCGTCAAAAATACTGCACAATATCTACAAACAATAACATTTTTTTCCAGATCAAAGTATAAAAACATGATTCAAATCTCTTTTTTCAATGGGAGGGTAGTGTGAAATTCCTCCCTTACCGCTGTCTATTATAATATGTTGAGAACTGATTTATAATGCGAACTGGATACAAATAACGCTTTGTTTAGATTGTTTGATTGATTGATTGTATGAAATATGGAGATAACAGTATTCAAGCTCACCCTTCCATGGTACCTGATCCCACCTCTGATGTTGTTGAAGGTCCTTGTTTGCTCAGCTCTCGATTTGTATTCTTTTAATGGACTTTGAGCTTTAATACAGTACGTTATCTCCATATTTCGTACTCTTATGCAACGTACAGGGAATTTAACCTAAGTAATCAAGTAACATAAATATGAAATAGGAAGAAAATATGTTTTAAAAAATCAGAACATAATTACATTAGCCAGAGAAAAAAAATGTTCTTGTAAATAAAAATAAATCTGACATTTTGATTTTTCTATATATTGATGGTTACATTTGAAGATACATCAAGTGTCGTCCAAATACATGTACTTGACAAATACATTCTAGTTACAAACTAAGTTGTACTTTTTTTATCAATTATAGTGAAAGGATTCACCTGTTCAGTTTTGCAAAAGAAAGTGATGAGTATAGAATATGGCAAATCAGACAAGAGATATTAGCAACCAACAAACACAAATAATGGAAGAAACTTCTGTGAATGATGATGAAATTCAGAAGTCAAGCGATTTCATGTCTGACGAGTCTGATGATGGAGACGACGATGAGGAAAAGATAGACTGTTCTGTCGCTGAGTTGGAGTCAGTCAATAAAACTAGTAAAGAGGGTCAAGAAGATATCCGTTGTGGGAGCAGTTGCATTGAAAAAGAGACGGAGACGATGCAGCCACTTGCTCAAAATGTGAATGCAACCCGCAATAACTACAGTTGTAGTGCTGATGGGATCCAGTACTTTGAGCCACACTACTACATGAATGATTCCTCTGCGGATGCAATTCTTCCAGTCATAATTTCTCGAGGAAAACAAAGGGTGATCATGTTGCTGAAATTCCATCTAAACCAAAATCTTGATATTGAAATTACATTTTATATGCTCTTTTCACAATGTCTATATCTACCGGTTCAAATCGCATCCATACGAGTTAACTTGCAAGAGTACTTCATTCGGAACGGGTTAGCTGAAACAAATGATTTAGAATTTGTATTTGATGAAAACTCAAAGGCTGTGTTTCGACAGAAACAGGATTCACCAAGTCATACTGAATATAAATACAACTTTACATTGGAGAATATAAAACTCCAAGAACAGTATTACAAATTTCAACGTATTGACACGCGGGGTATTTTATCAATAAATGAAGAAAGGGTTCAGAGTTTATGTTCGAAGCTTTCCTTGAATGCCGTGTCTTTATTACCCACAAAGTTGCATATTCAACCAGAAATTCAGTGCCCAGTGGACTGCGACATAGCAAAGTTTCTGCCAACGAGTTTCAAAAACATTGCACTGTTAGGCAATTTTGATTCATCATTTCTCAATCAACAAAATTTGTCCTGGGTTGTCATGGTATTGAATCATCATTCGTCTTCTGATCAAACACATCAAAATGATAATTTTGTAGAGAATCAGAACTGTGCATCCCATGGAGCAAGAAGAGTTTGCAGCTGCGGAAACTCTCCAGCAATTTACAGGAATGAAGTCGACCTAACAGAATCCTCAAACGTGTCCCTTGGAAATAATACAAGGGAAAATGTAGACAAGAAATCGAGTTCATTAGTTTTTGATGTTCCTGCAAATGAAAATTCACCTTTTTCCAATCATGAAATTTCATGTAGATCGACTATTGCAAATCCAATTTCAAATGGTGATTTCGAAGATAAATACGACGCAGAAGGGGAAGCCCTCATTCCTGTAGAAAGCCAATGGACGTCTCATGGAGATAATTTAAGGGAGAAATTAGAAAGTCCTGACAGTAAGTCAAATTCCTTAGTCTTGGATGTTCCTGGAAAAGACAGACCACCTCTTCGAAGCTATGGAATTCCATGTAGATTGTCTCCAGAAAATCCAAACTCAGATTGTGATGAAAGGTGCAGTGAAGAAGTGGATGCTCTTATTCCAGTAAAATGCAAATGGACACCTTCAACTTTAATGGAAAATAATAAATTGAGCACTTTAACGAAAAGGAACAAGAAAGACAGATATATGCTATTTGTCGGAACTTTCACTTTGAGTTGTCGAAAATGTCTGTTGGAGATTCAAAACCAAGGAGTGGATGATTTAGGCAAAGTTAACTTAAAGATCATGAATAACTTAACTGACAAATGTCCTCTTGAGCCTGAGATCTTTTCTTCAGAGGCAGATAAAAGCTTAGAAACTGAAAAAGCATTTTTCAGCAGATATGGTATTAGTTACCAATTTGCCGAAAACTTTCCTGCTGAACAACAGAACAGTGACAGACCGAAGGACATCTCAAGCTTAAGCCTACAAGTAAATCATTGTTTGGTATGTTTTTCAAGTAGCAATAATAATTATTCATGTCCTGAAAACATCTGTGTAAAGAAAATGCATGAAAAAAATATGAACTTTGAGAAAATTATAAATACCTCAGCATGTGGGAATTTCGTTGTGAAAGTTCCGAAAAAAGTCTTCCTTGATTTGAACCGGCCAATACGGATTCCATTCCTTGATAGCCAATTTGAAATCCATGAAAAGTTGAAGAACTTAATGTGTCCATTGTTTCAACTGAACACCAAAGAGCAGTCATCAAGGCTCTTGGTTGAAGAAAGCGAACTAGAGAAACCCATTTTACATTTATCAGTGTATGGAAACAACTTTGCGAATCGGTGCCTCAAAAGACTGTGTCTAAACGAAGAATTGGACAAGAAATTGATTGCAGAAGAAATCAGTGTTATGACGTATCACAAAGCTTTCCAAATGAGTCACCCTGCAATGAAGGTTCAGGAATTACAAAATCGGGCTCAGCAAAGAAAAATTACATATTTGAAAAATGTGCAATTTCCATTTTTCTCTGGATTGACCGAAAAGATGTCACGATATAGAAATAGTGACAGTACAACAGATGGAACCGAGAAAGTACAAACATTCAAACAGAGCAAAAACAGAATTCAAACCAAACAATTTCTAAATTCTCAGAGCATATCTTCTGCAAATGTCGGGCTACGAGATGATATCAGCGAGGAAAATAGTAGAAACGTATTCTCCAATGATCTGATAAAACTTAGTTCCAAAAGACAATGGGGCAGACATGAGAGCGACAGTGAGATCCCTCATTCTTTGGAAATTTCTTTGAAAGATAATTTGGCATTATCATGTAAATCTGTCGACCTCACTGAAGAACAAGATGATGATTCTGTGCCACAAGAAATAAAACGATGTCAACCGCCTTTCGATGTTTTGCAACGGGATAGTGCTTACGGTACGCAGTCGAAAAGAACATCGGATGGAATGAACGAATACTATGAATCTTATGTAAAATCTTCAAAACAAAATTATGGATTTTCACTGACTGAACAAAAATTCAATGAAAATGCAATTAGATGTACAGAAGAATCTGATGTACCTACCGTTCATTTCAAACATGAAAGTCCATTAGAATATGACTTCTGTAGATTCGAGAGTGACAATTCAGAAAATGTTTTGCAGATTGATCCTCTTCTAGCAAAACATCTTGTAACATCTGGTCTTCCATTAGATGCCGTAACCCTAAAATTGAATTCAGGACAACTTGGGACACACATGGTTTCTGAAGACTATGATACGAAAAGTGCCTCTCATGGGCTTGTAATTGAGCTTGCAATGCAGGCCAAATTTACTAGCCTAGATGACGAGTTTAAAGAACTTCATCAGAGCTCATCTGGCGGGACTTCCACAGGGAGAAAGACCGGACACAGACCAACAATTCACACGAGTATTATAACAGTAGACCCAGGTTGTTATGAGAAACTTGCTGAAGCTCGACACACTCTGGACACACAGGGACTCCTATATCCCCCATATGCACGATCTGTTATAGCAGCAGCTGATTCACATCTAAGGGATTTTTTGACCTGTATGAAAAATAATAGACTGGAGCATCATTGTGGATTGGTTTTTAAAAGTGAGGTCAGTCAATGGAAAAAAATGTTTTAATACAAAATGCAGTACAATAGGAAACACATTGCGTAGAAAGTTTATTTAATAAAGTAAATCTCAGTCCATAATAAGGAATACTTAATATATTTTCATGCTTTAAGTTCATAATTTGTTTCAGGAGATTCAAAGCATTGTCAATGAAAAGAATAAGTTCAGGATTGGCCATGAGTACAAGATTCTACAACAGCTTGGTGCTGGTGGACATGGGACTGCTCTCTTATGTGCCTGTATCTGTAATGACAAGAAGAGTGAAAAACCATTTGTTGTGAAAAAGGTAACAGTTGATGCATGCATATATTCTCAATATATAAAATAATTTATATAATGTATATTCTTAATGCATAGACACATGTGTATACATGTACCTACATATGTTTTCAATAAACAAGAGACTTTGTACCATCATTAAGAGGCAAGAATGCACTCTCTAAGTACCACCTTGCTTTTGTGCAGTGAAAATGAGCACTTGATAAATTAAATTCTTTCAGATTATACTTGAATTATCTTACTGTAAAGTTCTTCTATGAGTTTTAATGTAGGTTAAAAACAGTTAATTTAGATATTTTTCCCTCTACATACATTATCTTTATATATTTTTCAAAGAACATATGCACTTTTCAACATAGATTCGAAGAGATCATTTTCATGAAGAAGAAATCACAATACCATTTCATCATGGCAATATGTATTCCCACATGGTAGAAGTGTACGGAATAGTGTTGGAGGGTGAGGAAGTCTCAGTACTGATGCAATACGCGGAAGGTAAGATATTATTATAACCAAGCAAGCTATTTTCAAACATTTTACTTAGTTGTTTTATTGAACTGAGATGGTATCATGTGATAGATGTTTTCTTGCATTTTAATAGAAATAAGTTGGGAATGGTTTTCAAAAGTGCTGAACAATTCTTTCTTTCTTTTTTTAAATAAAGGTGGAACTTTGAAAGAACACAGAACTTCTTCGGAAGGAAATCTCCAGCATTTAATTTCTCCTTTGTACAGAGTCTTGAAAAACTTATCTGAAGTCCATCGCCTTGGAATTGCTCATTTTGACATTAAAGGTGACATTTAAAAAAGCTTTTTCTAAAAATGTTCTCATGGATTATCCGCATTTCAATATAATAGTAATTTAATAAGTATTTTAATTCTTGATGTCATAGTCATTCCTACTACATGTCATCATTGGATTTTTTCTGTATTTTAGAGGAAAACATTGTCTTTACTTCGAAAGATGATCCCTTTTCAGCTACACTTATAGACTGGGGATCCGCCAAAATCATCAATCAGACCAATCAAAAATACGGCAGTGAGAATATATTGTCTTTCTTATATTATAAATTACAACTGCCTGTTCAGGTACAGATTTACGAAAAAGTAACCAATATCATTAAGATGTAAAATTAAAATAAAATTTTTGTCTACCTTTTAAAAAGAATTATTAAATTGAAACTGTTCGACTATGTTTTAAAAACCTGTTTCAAAGTTGTGACTGTGTAATGTATGCATAAATCCTAATAGGTCAGAAGATATATTCTTTTTGTAGATGGTACCAGGCGGTTTTATCCCCCAGAAATGCTACAAGACCGTACTGAAAATGAACTTGACCTAGAGAAACATGACGTTTGGACGGTGGCGTGTGCTTTTCTGTCAAATATCAATGGCGCCTTTGTGTTTGATGAACTGTGGAAAAGATGTAAGGATCGGCATCAAATGTACAAACAGGTACGACTCTTGGAAAGGTCTGTACAAGACTAATTAAGTTATGCAAAGGAATGAAAAATGAGAGTTAGTTTGCATTCTGGAATATTTTGAATTTTTCTTCTCTCAGGATCCAAAATTAAAGTTAAATAGTGTTTAGTAACCGTTTATAAAGTGTTTTATTTCTTTCAAATAAGACATTCAATGCTGGAGGAGTAAAATCATAAATAATCAAGTGCATTCAGCGTATTAAGATCAATGTAGCAACACTTTGCATCTAGATTAAAATGTTATCTTAATAAAGCCTCGGTAATAAATTTAAATGAAATAATCCTAAATTGAGAAGCAGCCATTCAAAACAAAAATGTTGACCAATGAACAGACAGACAAATGACAAGGACCAATGCATTAAAATACAACGAAGGGAAATATGAATTATATGTGATTTATTAGATGTACATATTAAAAGTCGAAAAAAGACGCACCCTAAAATCCGAGAATCTTATTTTTAAACTGACATATTTTTGAATTAAGATAACAAGATTTTTAATTACTAATTACATGTTAAATAGTATTTGTACTTGTATATCTGTAGGGCTTGCTTGCTGGACATGTTATCAATGAAGAGCTTTTGAAAGGGAAACATCGTCCAAGCTACCTACTCCTTCATCTGACAGATCTATTGATGTCGATGTTAGATCCGGATGTGACGTCACGCGCTAGTGTTTCCGACGCTTTGAGTCACCCAGTATTTCACTGTAAGATACACATTGCTGTATTTGATTTTATTCTATGAATATTATCCACGTGCAAATAAAAATAATAAAAATATCTACTTAGGTTTATTACAATTTTCACAAAAGAAATAATAATTAATTACATTTTTAACATTTTTAGGTATAATTCAATGACTTTTTCTGTCATCTGTCAATTTCTTTCCCATAGGTTGTAAATACGAAGCTACTGCCATGAATGAATTGTGTGAAGAATCCACTTGTAAGATCATTTTTGAGTCTATATCATTGTTTCAAATTGTTATTTAGATTAAATAAAATGTGAAGATTTCAATTTATTCAGAGAAACTGCATTAAATTAGGATGAATTGCTCCAATTTTGGCTGAAAAATATGCTTCACTCTAAAGAAGCGAATATAGCTTGGGTATCCATTATGACGCTTTTTGGTTTTTATTTCAAAATTAATCATTCAGTATATACACAAAATAAAATCGCATTATTTAATAGATTTAATATATATTTAATTATATTGTCGTTTAGGCAGAAACAATGTCGGGTATGATTTCAATGAGATTCTTTTTTTAGAATTTGGGAATTCTATGTTTTCTTCAAAGTGAACGGTTAAGCTATGTGAACCTTTTTAACTGTTTAATAGTCTTTGAATAAATCAATGCTTGTGTTTTCACCTTTGTAATTCAATATCTTAAGAGTTTAAACATAACATATTCATCAATATTTCAGGTAAATAACATTTATAAATATATGTATGCAAATGCACATTGGTCTGAATTTGATCTGAATGTTATCAATGCACGAAACAATTGCAAATCGTTTTATAACATTTTATGGTTCATACTAAATAATAAAATAATGTAATATAAAATATGCTGAAGAATCCTTAACATTTACAGATGGAACGATAGCTTTTTCCCCGTAATTTTGTTTACATATTTGATAATTTTAATGATATTACCACATGTAATAGTACAACAACTTGTTGTTCTTTGGAATTAAAAAATGAATGCCTTCAAGTATTTTTTTCCAGAATATTTGAGTTTTTATTTAATTTCTTTTACATAAATAAATAAAACTGATCATTAAGTTAATAAAAGTCCCAAAAAGTAATTGTTTAGTAGCATGTAAGAAACTGACTGCAATGCAAAGATTTTATAGAATGTAAAACTAATTTTTTCAAGGATTTACTGAATATTAATATTTTTATATTTTATTCAGGTTCTCAAGACACTGACAATAACAGACGCTTGGTCCGGGTTCTTGTTCACTATAACAAGAAACCGATTTACCTCAATCGTCTATGCAAGGGATACCCAGTCAAAGAATTAGTCAGAGATGTAGGATTTAGGGAAAAGGTAAAACATATGTATACTTAACTTTTTATTTCCTTTCCTGATTTCTTATTACGAGGAAAGAGTCTAGTGGACAGTAGACTAAACATGTCGCCATTCTCCTGACAAGTAACTATGTGAACAAAAAAACTAACTAATCTCCTGTAGTCCTATGCGTAAAACTAATATATTTGAGACTTAAAGACAGTTAAGTAAAGAAGCACTTTTGACATCTTTTCATTTCATCCTATAACCTTGTAAAGATTAAATTGTATTTATCATAACCCTAACCTCAGCCATTTTGATTTTTATATACCTTTTGTTATGGTTCAAGGCTTCTGTAAGTGAAATTATATGATTTTATGAAGCATTGAGCAACATCTTAAAATAATAATCTGAGAGAACTCGAAGTAACATGATTGCATCTTGTATGTTTTGACTACAAGTTATCAAGAAAACTTGAAACTCAATGGCAGTCAGGCACCATGAATTCTTAAATCAATTTATGCTTGAAATGATTAATAATGGAGGGAGATAACTGAATGCTTATCTACCCTCGCTATGCTTTGATCAGTTTTATATTTTGCAGGTTGAATTACGTGTTCCACAGCAAGACATACGCAATGGATATTGCCTCCTTAAAAACGAGAGAAATGTTTTTTCAATAGACAGTGACTGCTACCTGGAACTCAGACCAGCATAATCGACCCTAGTCGCGCTTTTCTTGATGCAATCAATTGTCCACTGACCGTGTTCAATAGATTTTACGCAACACTGACACAAAATGTGCCATATTGAAACAAATGTTATTTTTTTTTAGTATTTACTGACACTGATAAATGTCAGATACACCTTGAAATACTATTCCAAAAGGAGATTTTGAAAAATTTTATCAGTCTGAAAAAAGAAATTAATTGAAATGCCTGCGTGTTGGATTCATAATGCTAAATTACATGCCTGATCTCTTGAAAAGTTTGTAATATAGATTGTATGATCATAATCATGATATGTTCTTCAGATCTTTGACATGTGATTCCAGTCCTTTTGAATATAATTACTTATATTGACTAACATAGATATTAAAAAAGCAAGATTATGCCCGGATTAAAAAATAAAATAGAGAGGAATGTAATGATAAAACAATATTGATGTACATATTTAAAGCTTCCTGACACTTCTTCTGTAAACATACATATGTATGGCACCAAATCATGTGTTTATTTTTTTTGTTCGGGTCATTTTATTATATAACGAATTCTATTTTTATTTTTACCATGCACTTATGTCTTTTGTAGTTTTATGGGAAGACTGACGTTATTTAAAGAAACATTCTGGAGGAGAGAAAATAAGAGAAGTTACATTTTTTAAGGGCGGATCCAGTGGAAGGGAGTGAGACTCCATAGTAAAGTAGGCTTATCATAAGGTAGTTTGGAGCTGCCTCCAAATCGAGAGATTGATTGATTGATTGTTGTTTAACGTCCCTCTCGAGAATTTTTCACTCATATGGAGACGCCACCACTTGCAGGTGGAGAGCTGCAAATTTTGTCCTATCCTCGGTACTTACGGCCGTTGAGCAGTGAGGGATCTTTTTCGTGCCAGCACCTACTGCGACATGGAATCTCGGTTTATACAGTCTCATCCGAAGGACCGGTCTCCACGCCCCACAGTGGGATTCGAACCCGCGACGTAAGGATCAACTCCTTACCTCGCGACTCTAGAGCAGACGCTCTAACCACTGCGCCACGCGGGCGACCCAAATCTCGAGAAGATCATTTTCTATACAATAGAACAAACAAAGTATGAATTCAATATTGATAAGAAGCGAAGCCGCTTTTCTGCCAATACAAACACCATCCCAATTATTTATGAGAAACTATTGTGGTTAAAATTTTTTGCCTAGAAATAGAATTTTCAAAGGAAAAAAATTCTGGATCCGCCCTTTGAATTTTTGTGCAAGTATGTTGCATATTTAAGATTTTTTTTTTTTATAATTTGCATAGTTTTGCGTTCTTTGCACACATTTATAATGCAATACAGATTATATTTGGTACTTAGTACTTTTTGATGTAATAAAATATCTATTTACAATATATTCTTTTCGTTATTTTTCGATGTGTGAGCACATTCTATTTTTCAGAAAAACCTGTATTCTTAAAATGGAGAGGTTCTTGTATGCCGATAGATAAAGTACAGTGAAACCTGTGTAATCCGACATGCACTGGGAGACAAATTTTTTGTCGGAATAGATAGGGTGTCGGATTGCTCAGTGTAAAAAAACATAGAAAAAAGTAAAATGGGAATGAAATTTAACGTTGGAATTTACAGTGTGACAGATTGCACAGGTGTCAGATTAGACAGTTTTCACTGTATATATAAATGGTATGATTATTAACAAAGAAAACTTAATTGATATTACGTAAGTAGCTGCGAAGATGACCTTGTGGGAAGAATGTCTAAAATGTGGGTTACATTCAAAAGAATAATTTCAGATAAACAGAATTTTAAAAATGGGAGACTTGATGGAGTCGAAGGAGACACTGCATCATAATGAATTAAAAAGAAGGAGCTAATAAAACTAATACGTATCATTTTAAACTAACCACAAAGTTTTCTGAAACGTCACGACATTTTCAAGATGATGATCATGAATAATCGTGATATAGAAAGTACTAAAAGAGTTAAAGATTAAATCCCTTGGATCTATTTTAAATGAGTTCCGCTATTCCAATAACAAATAAAGAAAATGTTGTTGATAAAATTAGCAATCAGACTGAACTTTAGCCCTTATCAGTGATTATCGGATGAGTTGGTTTTCCCACCTATTAAGGGGGTTGACAAGATGTAGTTTATATCGTTATGATTAATGTATCCCCTCCCTGTCCTTTTAACATGTCACATAGTGAAAAGAGTCTTTTTAAAAAAGCTTTAAATGCATTTTTTCATGCAACAATTCTCATTTCATGCGTCTGATATGATTCAATGTTTCTGGAAGTTTTAGAAACGGTCTTGTAAAAGTAGACATTATAGCACCTCATAAAATTACCCATATAAAATAGAGAAAGCAATTTTTCTTTAATCTTCCCTTAGATATAAATGTTTATTAGCATGACATGAGATTGGAACTGAACTGTGATATCTGGCAATGATGTAACATGCTACAAGTTAAGGAAGAAATAAAATAGTATATAAAATATGCACATTTTTTCCTGGATACCTATAGTTTCTTATCCAATCAAAGATTTGATCTATTTTCAATTAGAAAATGCCTTATTATTCGGTGCTTTGCTTATTGTTTCCTTAAAGTATATCTGAGATTTGATAATTTTCCCTATATAAGAATTATGATTATTATGATGAATTCTGAAGAAACACATTACTAATTGTAAATTCAGTGACATTTTCAATAACTTAGCTTCTGATTCTCAGAAACTCAGGAATGGACTACTTAATTTTAAACTTTTCTGATGTAATTAGAATAACATGACTGAATTCTAGTTGTCATGAAGTTTTCTTCAAGACATACATAATTTAAAAGCTTTTTATAATTTTTAAAATTATGTTCTGCATTCTTTTGAATTATTATTTTAAAATTCTTTAACAGAGCTATCAATAAACATACAATGCCATATAACTAGTAATTTTTTTCTTTAAAATTGGTCGAAATACAAGGCTGTGTCTTGCAATCGATACATATAAAAGATACCTACTTGAAATGTCCCTATATTTATGCCTATCCTCGTCCATCAGTCACTTTATCAGACTTAAAGAAAGTATCCAAAACTCTTTGTTCTGTGAAATCTATTTAGAATTCTTTGTACTGCGTTTTATTTCACGTTTTATTTCACATTTTTACACACAACTGGACTCAATAGTAATTCACTGTTACTATTACTCAATTCCGCATTTTGTTACTATTTTTTGTGCTACACGTAATGCAAAATACCGAAAATAGAACCGAGTAATTTTCCCTTTTCGTACGAGAAGTCAGTGTTTGGCAAGAGTCCATGACATTAATAATTGTAACATGATTTATTCCTGTATTAGATATAAAAATAACTCTTCATAAAATGTAGTAATTGTTGCTTTCTTTTTTCAAATAAAGGAAAGTGATGTAAAGAATTAAAATAAACTTCAATGACTGCAAACGTAAAAACCGGCATTTGAAGATCTAAAAGTTGAACTTATCTTTCTTTTCTGAAGGTTTGCATAAAAACATTGTTACAATTACTTTTCAAAAAATTGCAACGAGAAAGAAGGAAAAGTAAAGCATCTCTGACGCTACATTAATAATGGTTTATTAATCATTCTTTCTGAATGTTTCATAATAAACAATTCTATGTTCATTTTTATGCCCCCAAAATCGAAGATTCGGAAAATAACTTTTGAATAACTTATCGAAGAACGGTTAGTTCTAGGGCTTTCCTAGTCTTGGGTGTACTAACATTTTTTTTCAAAAGTTAAATTCAGAGGAAGTCATGATCAAGTAAAATGAAACGCTACAAATTAATTATCTATAATAATTTATTCAGCACCAACTCCAACGCATTTCTCCTTGTATGTTTCTACGCATGAATGTACATAAAAATGCCAGTCAAATCAATTTCTTACTTGGTTTACCAAATAGCACAACAATACTAAAGTAAACATTATTAGAAAAAGGTAAGAGGATCATTTAAATGAAATTCCTTCATCTTAAAGACTTTAAAGAGTCACTCAGATGTTTATGAATGTTGTTTAATATGAACAAGTAAATACATCTTTAGGGAACTCCATGAAAACTCATGGAACAACCAATATGATGATCAAAGATTGCATAAAAACTTTAAATAACAAAAGTTTTTTTTTTTTTTCATGTACAATTCCCACAGACTGCTATCGGGTTCTTTTACGTCAGGTTGTGTGTTTCGTATTGTATATTGTATATATTTCAGATTTTACATAAAAATATGCTAAAATTATTCATATTTGAGACAGAATTTCTTATGAACATATATTCAGCATGTTATAAGTTTATTATACTTGTATTAATAAATACTGACATGAGTTGGTTGTACAAGTCATCGAGCTTGCAAATACATCCAATAAATGCCAATAATAACAATATAAGTTCTATAACTTTTTTATTATATAGATAAAACATTTTCTTATCGTTTTATCATGAGTTTATAACGAAATATTTATTTCCACTGAATATTGTCTCCTATATTTCTTATTAAAACCAGGTTCCATCATCAATCAGTATATGCCAATAAGCAAGTCAACTGTATATATGTCTTGAGCAGCGGCTCTTCCATCAATGAATCATACAATGACATAGATATTAATGAGACAATATTTAACGTACTTACTTTTATTTCTATTTATAGAGATATAAATATAACCAATAAAATGTCTTTCATTGTTTATTTGTACTGGAGTTAACATTGCAGCTATTGAAGAAAAAAAATTACGTAAAATTATGATTTTATGATTTTTTTTTCCGCAACAGCTGCAACTCATACTGAAAATTCTTCAGTACTGGTATCTACAGTTACTGTGGAAGTCTGCATTATTAGAATTTTCCCCCTTGTTCAATATTATGTCATTCCAATATCCCTGAGTCTTACTGGGGGTTTTAGTGAGGCTTACAAGAATTTCTTCCTTGATATAAAATCCAATTTAATTGACTATTTTACCTTCCGAAGAAAGAATATCAAACATCCCTTTATCAACATTGACAATTTATTTGATTTTTTTAATAATATGAACGAAAAACAAATAACCTTTGTACCAGCAGTGTCCCTAAACACAAGCATGGAACAGTGGTTCGAAGAGAAGAAAAATAATATAGTTTTGATCGATAAACGGCATACCGTTCTCTCTCTCTCTCTCTCTCTCTCTTTCTAGAATATGGTAGCTTACACAAATAATAAAGGAAATATGGGTAAAGAAAGCAGGAAATTAATTGATTTCTACAATAAAATACGAAGAGATACATGTACATGTGTGATACCAATCTACGGAAGCCCATTAGTGCCAACCTGTATATATAAAGGAAAAGCAATATATAAAAGCAAACCTCGATATATAAAGGAAATGCTAAATATAAAAACAAAACCTCGATATATATAAAGGAAACGCGAAATATATAAACGAAACCTCGATATATATAAAGGAAATGCGAAATATATAAACAAAACCTCGATATATACATGTATATAAAGAGAAATGCGAAATATATAAACAAGTAAACGAGTAGATACTCGGTTTAAGAACGTCAATGAGTCAACATTATATTCTTTTTTATAATCGACAAAGATGCTGCCGTGATATAGCCTACACTGATCTATTGAGTGAAAAAATACACAATAGACATAATTGCTTATGTACCATCATAAAAAATTAATTTTTAACCTTTCAAATGTTGTTTAGGACGTATTTAATCTATAATATGTAACTATGGTTCAAA